CGAGAGGCAGAGCAAACCCTTTGGGATCGAAAGCCCTGCAACTTGAGGCAAGAGTCCCCCAGCCCGCTTCGCGGGGGGGAGGGAGGGAGGGCACAAAACTTACCGGTCGTTCGAGTAAAACATGAATCGGCATGTTGTACACTTTCCCTCCAAAAGGCTCTCGGACTTTTCCTCATGCCTGCAATCCGAAGCTGCAAGTGCCGTCACGAGAGGCAGAGCAAACCCTTTGGGACCGAAAGCCCTGCAACTTGAGGCAAGAGTCCATCCTTGGAGAGGCCAGACAGGTGCTAAAGGGCCACTGTCGAGCAGCGGCGGCCGCAGTAGCGGCAGTCCGTTCGTCCTGTGCCAGAAAAACGAGAGCACTCAGGGCGGCTCGCCCAAAGCATCAAAGAGCTGAGCCGCCGTACGTATCAGTGAGCGTCCATGTGGAGAAATGTCTGTCAGTGCTGTCACCGCTGCCACTTCCTGCAAATAATGCTCGAGCGTCCCCAGGTGTTTCAAGCGCATAGCCCATTGCAGTTCAGTGAGGGGATGCCCACTGCGATACAGATGAACTGCCCCGCCGCCCCGCAATCCTCCACGCGTCAAGCGCAGACCTAGGGGGACATCCAAATGCTTGAGGAGCACGTTCCAGCGGTGCCGATATGCAGCTGGAGAAGATGGCCAAAGCAGATCGTCAGGCGCCAACCCCGCGAAAATCGCCGAGATCCAGCTCACCGCACGAACGTCAGAAACCTTAGTGTGCTGAACCTTGGGTCGTCCTCTGGTGGCCGTCTTTGAGCTCTTAAAGCACAGGTATAAAGCACCATGTGCATCGTCTAAAGGATCGTCTGGAAGCAGAAGGTCAGATCTTCGGCATCGAAGCACCTCACCGATCCTGGCGAGGCCATAGAATGCCAAAAGAGTCACCCCTGCCCACCGGCGCATCACCCAGAAACTCGCAAGCGCACACATAGCCTTTAGCATAGGCTCCGGCAGAGGCAACGCTTCCCATCTGGAGACCATTTCCCAAGCCAGGCTGAGATAAGGCTTTGATCCAAGAACTCTGCGCTGGACAGCAATAACGCAGTGCCGAAAGCTACTAAGCGTGCTCCCAGTCGTGAAGCACCAGTCACCGTAAGCGCGGAGGGCCATGGCAGCAAGGAGAGGGACGAGAGAGAAGCAAGACTGAGGATCAGACACGACCGACGAGCACCAGCCAATGAAGTCATCCCACAGCTTGGCTTCGTACACTAGGGTGGTCTGCGTCTGCAACGGCCTTGTCAACAAGTCTCCTACACGAGCATGAAGACGGTGTCGAGGACCGGGGTTCTTTGCTTCGCCGATCCTCATGTGCCCGCAGCGAGCGCAGTTGGAGAGGATCAACCTCCCGCTTGAATCAGCCCAGCCTTCCGCCCGAGCAGCAGCACGAGCTAAAGCGTCACAGAAGCCGCGCGGGTACGGTTGTCTCAGCGTGCAAACGCAGAAGTGGCGTTCCCCGCGCAATTCACAGGATGTGGCAGTCCGCGTTCTTTTTCGCCACGGGGTTCCAAAGAAGCACAGATCACATCTCCAGACCGAAGCACTGAAGGGGCTAGCGAACCTCCTAAAACCCCGAAGGCACCACAGCAGCGACGTGTCAGGATGCTCCAACCACCAGGTCACTCCTTTCGACTCACAGAGCCGCACCAGCTTCAAGCAGAACGCCGCCAACTCGTTGTCACGCTCAACCTTTTGCTTCATTGCACCACCCAGCCACGGAACACCATCTGGAAATCTTCGAGACCTCACGGCTGGCGTGACAGCTCTGGAAAAGGTAGCTGCAGGGGGCGCCATGGCCACCACATTGACAGACCCCGACTCCACCAGGGAAATCACGGCAGCTTGGCACTCGGGATTTGTCAGATCCTGCAACGGACTTCTTATCACATCGAAACCAATCACCCAAGGAGCTCCTTGTCGAACCAGTGCACGAGCAATCCCTCCAGAACCGCAGAACAAGTCGATGCAACCCTTCTTCGAGGGGTCAGGTGACCTCCCTCGCTGGAAAAACACCTGACTCATAGGAAACCCCAAGAAGGAGCAATCATCAACCCCAGGTTCGGTGCCCTTACCAATCGAATCAACACGAAGAGGAGCACCAGCCAGCCATGATTCATGTTTCAAGCGACCGCCTGACTTGCAAACCAACGAATCGGCAGGAGCCTGAGGCCGCGCACCATGAAGGTGGCTGAAGTCGGGTGCCTCAACCTTGGAAGAGAGCTTCGAGAGGAAAATGTCGAACTCCTCGAAATCACCTGCAGCTGCTTTAACCAACCAAGGAGGCAGAGGGAAAACGGGTTGAGGAGGCGGCTTCCCACGTGTCGGCCCATCCGCAGGATTCAAGTGTGTAGGGTAGTACAGAAAATGAGGAGCAATCCCACCACAGATGTAGGGCCCAACTGACGTCGACAGAAGCTTGTTGAGGCCTGGCGATGCAGAGCGCCCCTTGACCAAGCAGCCGAGGGCTACCTGAGAGTCCAAGCCATAGAGAATTCTAATGTCTTGAAATCGCCTAGCCAGAAACTCTTCCTCGACAAGGTAAGCACGGACCTCTTTGAGATTGATGTGCTCACTGGAACGAAATCCACGCCTCCACTGCTCCTGGTACATGAGGGAGCCCGCCAACACGTTAGCAAGCTCGTTCGGAGTGTACGGGTCCTCATCAGGGAGAGCCTCTCCAGCGGCCAGGTCGCCTCGCTCATGCATCCACGCCTTAGTCGGGGGGAGAAGATTCGTCCAGGTACCCTTGGAAAGGGAGTGGCGGCAACACCGGGGGCATTCCAGAACAATCTCAGGGCTCACCTCAGCACGGACAGCAGCTCCACCCCAGGATGAAGCATCTGTAGCTCCAACGAAGTTGGCAGGCTTAGCTCTCAAATTCGTCACTGCGAAGGGTCCTAAGGCCACCAAACACCAAAGTTCAGACTTCAACCGGCTCGAAAGGCGTATGATGGTCGACTGGTCCTCGGGGGCCGCAGCTGAGAAGATCAGGTCCATGATCGACAGGAGCCGTCGCCTCAACAGGAGCACAGAAATCCACGAGCCACACATCATTTTCATCAACCCGACCGTGGCAAATCCCAGCGATGCTATTCGAGAAGTGATCGCGATGAGAGGCCAAAGCCGAGACCTGGCAGGGCGAAGCAACCCCACGATGCCGTCTAGCTCCACTCCCCAGAACCTGCCCTCGGGCTCGTTCTGGAAGGCTTTCTTGGAGTTGGTCAGAAGGGCTGCACCTTCATAGGCCAGGTCAGCTAGCGTCATACGAACATCACTGGAGGTTCGGGGCCAGGGCTTTGGAGACTCGATCAAAGACAACGGCACCACTTCGAGAAAAATCAGGTCATCTATGACGTCCGTTCACCTTCACCTCGCCCTTGCCGAAAATCACGTCCACATCGTCCTGCGATAAGGAGCAACTCAAACAGTTGCTCACCATGCGTTCGCGACTCACCTTGAACTGGTAAAAGAAATCCTTGAGGTCTCGACCCGAGCAAAGAATGCCGCAATCGCGCGGCAAGTAGATCCCTGCCACCTTCTCGGCTGAGGCCAGAAACTTCGTCCATCTATTCCAAGGCAGCTCAAACACATTAGCGCCTCTTCCGTCAAGGATGAGGCGATCTCTTTCGAGGTCCTTCGTCACTGAGAACAGCCCCGAGCTGATACCACGAGCCGCCTCCGAACTGTCAAGAACACCCAGCCGGCCTGATGCGGCCAGCTTCTGCAGAAGAGCCAACTTGTTGGCCGGCGTAGCCATGATACTTGACCTGGGCGGGGGAGGATCGCGAGGTTCGTCTAGCCGATGTCGCAGGGGGTGCTCGTAAACATCTCTGGTGATCGGGTCCAAGAAGGGTCCAGGATCAAAGCTTGGTGGTGGTGGCAAAGAGATGCGGCTAGCCACAATCGGTTTCGCATTCAGCACTTTTTCGGCCGCAAGGCTCACCGAAGTCCTTTACAAGACCTCCCGATGCGGGACCGTCAGGACCACCCCAGCCTTCAACGCAAGGTTCTTTATGTTTGCACTTCACGCCATATGTCACCTAGGATCTGGTCCTGGTCCTCCAGCTTGGAGGCTGTTCGCCCAAGGTCGGGCGGCTCAAAAGTCAAAAAATCACATCCGTCCAAGCACCGCTCCAAAAGCTTAACCATCTCCCACTGCCTCTTCGACAACGGGTTCCCGGCTGCGAGCCCAGCTGGGGCACACCTCGGCCTTGAAAGGAAAAGCCAGTTCATTGCAGCAACAGCCAAGTTCACGTAGCGCTCCAGGCTGGCCTCGGCAGCGAGCGTCCAAGAGCCTTTGTCGAGAGCAACCTGGTCGGCTTGAAGCAACATGAGTGTTGCACGAGCTCGGGCCTCCGCCGGGTTCGAGTTGATGAGGCAGTCTAGAATCCCGGCGACTCCCAAGCAGTTCTCACAGCCGCCGGATAGTTGGTAAGCCGGCTTCTGCTTTCCAGCCAAGCCCTTGCACACAATGTCGGCTTTGGCATCCCAGGGGCCAGCGTGCGGGAAAGAAGATCCTCCAGCATCAACTTCTCGATGGTGGTGTAAATCTCCTCGGGGCTCTCGTGAAGTGCTTGCCTCAAGGCACGGCGAGCCAAGGAGTTCTTTCTGCTCGAGATCCCCTCCGCCGTCTTGAGAACCAGACCCTGCGGCTGCCCCTTCCAAGGCTTGCTCCAACCGAGAACCCCGCTTTGTTTTCTGGGTCTGCAAATCCTCCACGAGGGTGGTAAGCTTCACCAGGGCGTCGCTCATAGGATCTCGGGAAAGTGCAGTTCGCAGCTCGGCCTCCGGAACCGCCTCCTCTGGGTCGTCTGCCGCGCCCTCGTTCTCGGACTCGTCCAAGGTGGCCTTCTTCGGAACCATACCGGCCCCTGGGTCTTTCAGGCGCCGCGCAGGGTTGCCGGCCAGAAGCTGGGAAAACTGCTTCAAAGACTCCATGTCGATGCCCGCCGTCAGAGCAGATTTCACAACCCCGGGATCGAGGCCCGGAAGACCTTCCACCGCCTGGGGAGGCCGAGGCGGAGCCGGTGGCTTTGCCCTTTCCACACGATCCAAGGAGAGAGCTTGCATCGACGAAGCAATCGTAGCAATCGATTGCTCCAGCTTGGCGAGTCGAGATTCCATCGAAGTTTCCGCCGCTTGAGGCTGAGGCGCAGGAATAGCTGGCGCTTCGCCCTCGGTGGCCGTGGCAAACTGGAACTTGTCTTTCGCCACTTCCATCAAGGCCTCGGCGTGGGGCACAAACCCAGATCCTCCGCCCAACGTGGTGAAGGCGACATCCACCTCGCCGTCGTGCTCGAAGACCAAAGCCTCCACCAAGGAGTCTCGAAGGAAACCAAGCCATACCTTGAGACGTTGATTTCCCAGCACCGTCTGCCTGTCGTCCCGAGCAGCACCGGCAACCTCCACAGCAACCGGCTTGCTCAAGGAGCCAGGGGGCAAACTACGATTGGTAGCCCGCCTGTGCCAACCACCCTGTGGTACAGCCACAAGAGAACGGCCCTCCAGCTCGCAAATCAGGATCACCTCAACCAAGACCTCGGGGGAGCCCTCAGCAACCAGGACCCTAAGCACACCCACTTCAAAGTCACAATCGGCAGTCTCCCCGTCGTAGAGGTACAAGGTCCTGCCGTCGACCCCGTCCTCCTCACCTTCCTCAGCACTCATAGGTCAAAGGGAAGCTCGAAGCCTCCCGCCTGAAGAGCAACTTTGATGTCTCCCTTGCTCGGGAGACCAATGAACACCGAATCTCCAACGTCTTGCCCTCGCTTCACCAATGCTTTGCAGTCTGAGAAGCGCGAAAAGACCAAAGGAGGCGAATGAACCCGCCCTTGAAAATCACGGATAACCACCCAATGCCTTGAAGCCAGCTCCAAAGAATCCCGACCAGAAGCACCGCGATGGCCCCCGTCCAGAGCTCGCCTCAAGAATTCGCCCACTCGCTTGCAGATCACCACCCTGTCTCGATCCGAAGGCGGTGCCGAAGCAGCGGTTGAAGGCAAAGCCGCCGAAGCCGAAGGATCCCTTGCAGAAGCAATGGAGCTCGACGCCCCAGCAGCCTCCGAGCTGTCCACCAAAGCAAACCCCTGGTTCAGGTCCTCAAGTTCGGCAACCCGGGCTTGCAGGCGCAGCACCTCGGATCGAAGACTGGACACCTCGGCCCACAAAGCCTCGAAGTCCCGAGCAGAAGGATAGCTTCCCCTGCTCATGCACTCTGAACAGTAAAATGCGGGCAGTGAGGATGGCTTCACAGACAGGCACCAAAAGCAGCCCAATCAGGATCCCCACACAAATAGATGGCAGATGAATCCCAGAATAAAGTGCCACCTCGATGTCTGAGCGCTCGGCCGGGCAGATCTGATCAAACGGTGTTTCCAGAAAAGACGGAGAAGACGATTCAGGGGGAGCCGTGGGCGACTGAGAAGAGAGAAAGCGAAGAGCGTGAAAGAAGAGAGACAAGCCTGAAGTCGCACTGGTTGCTACGAGGGCCCTTGTCATCGAGCCACAAAACTTACCGGTCGTTCGAGTAAAACATGAATCGGCATATATATATACTTTGTAATATAGTATAATATATATTCTTATATTATATATAGTATGACATATAATATACAAAATGATATAATAAATAATACAATATAATACATTATAATAAAATCTATTGTAATTTAATCTAAAATAGATTAAAATAGAATAGTATAATATAATATATAATATAACATATATAATATGTAATATATAATATGTAATATATAGTACATAATATATCATATTGTATCTATAGTATATAACATATAATATGTAATATAAAGGATATAATATATATAACATAGAAAATGTAATATAGAATATACTATAAGAAAAAATTGAAAAACAAAATATAATATCATATAATATGACATGTATAAAACAATATATATATATAGTAAAATATAATATA